GAGGAGGAGGAGGAGGGGGAAGACGGGGCCTCGCTTGCGCCCCGCCCGCGAGGACGAGGAGGACTGCGGCGAGGACGAGGACGCCGCCCGCGGGGAGCCGGGAGGCCCCGCCCGCGGCGGCCTCCGGGCGGAGAGCTGCGCCAACGGCGCCGTGGGCGTGCTGCCCCTCTCGCCCAGCATCGAAGGGGAGACGGCCGAGTCGGCCCGAGCTCTCGGGGCTCTGCGCGGGCTTTCGTAGACGGGCCCTGGGCCCCCCTCTCCCTGGCGCGCGGGGAGCGTGCCGGGGGCGGCGCCGGAGGCGCCGCCGGGAGGTCCAGCGCCGATCCAAGCAAGTCCGCGCGGAGGTCCGGCAGCTTGTGTTTAGCCGGTCTTTGCTTCTTCGACGTCAAGGAGGTGGCCACTCCCGCGAAGGATTCGGGCGGGGCTAGGACGACGATGAAGTCGTTCCAGAGCGCTCTGGAGGCCCAAGACGGGCAGCAGCTTGCCGCTCCAATCTCTTGGGAGCCTCGGACATCTGGGGTCCTGGCTGATCGGCTGATCGGCGGGTCGGCGGATCAGCTGCTCGGTCGCTGATCGGCGGATCGGCGGATCGGCTGGACTCGAAGGCCACCCCTGGGGACCGACGCCCTGGGAGAGCCTCCGCCCCGATCTGTTTCGAGACGCCATGATATCTGGCCTCGTCTCACACTGGGGGCCCACGCCGAGAAACACCCTGCTTGCCTCCAGGGTGCCCTGGGTTTCTTGGGTTTCGATGGTTTCCCCAGGAAAGCGTGACGTTCCCGCGCCAAAAAGCGATGGATTTCTGGGATCTCAGGGTGGGGCTTCTTGGGGAAGGTTTCAGGTGGACTGGCCTCCATTGTCTTCAGGGGAGGCCAAACGTACCCCAGGGCAGGCGTACCCTGGAGCGGCGGCTTCAGGGGCGCTGGACGGCTGCGCTTTTGCGCCCAGGGTTGCTGGAGCCGTGGCCGCTGCGACGCCTCGCTGGGGGCACGTCGTCCTGGGGGTATGTTTGGCAGCCACGCGCAGAAGGGGGTGCAGGGGGGAGGGGGGGGGCTTCTGCGCAGAACCCCTGCTTCTCCGAAGGCGCGGGCCTCATCCATAGATGCAGGGCCGGCGCCTTCAAAGAGGCAGCCTTCCCCCCTGTCCCTACCCCCCTGTGCGCGCTGGCGCCGCCAAGCCGAAACCCAGGCATGCGCGCGTCGCGAACAAGATCGCGGCGTTTTTTTTTTTTTTTTTTTTGTTGCAGCTCTTGGTCTCCGGGGGTGGGAACCTGGACCAGGCCGCCGGGACCGTCAAGCGACGACTCGGGATGGAAAGCCCGTGCTGGGCATGTGGAGTGTCGGGGCCTCGGGGGCCCGCGTGCTGAACCGATCGCTTCACCGATGCGGGCATGCGCCCAGCGCGGGGAGAGCTGTCTCGAGATTCGCGGGCGGACCAGCTTGCCACAGTCGACCCCGCCCAACGCCAGAGCAGGAGCAGCCGCTCGGGAGGGAAGGCTCGAAGGAGCAGGCGCGGCCTGAGCACAGAGTGTTCGCGGTTCTTTCTCCTCCTGCGCGCCGCCAGGTTCCCGGGCATGCGGCGTCCGGGTTTTTTCAACGTGTGGTTCCCAGAAGTCCCGACCCTTGTTTCCCCGGGACGATCTGAGGCCCCGCCGCTTTCTCCCCCCCCCCCCCGCCCAATCCAAGCCTCGCGCGGCCCGCTTAGCTTCTATCGGAAGAGGTGCGCTCTCGACCCGCGGATCAAAAAGTTTCCCCGGGACGGGCTTCTCCTCCCGAGTCGTTTTTTTGGACGGTCCCAGGGCCCGGCGAGGGCCCCGCGAGGCCGCACACGACGCAAGAACCTCCCGCCCCGACTCTGTGCACGCCGCGAGCATGTCTGAGCTGTCGGGTGGGTGGTCATGAGGGGCGACCAAAGTAGGTGGTGAAGAACAAGGCCCCTGTAGAGCCTTCTTCTTCACCCAATTTGGGTCACCCCTCATTAATTACCATACCACCCGCCCGCGCGAGCGTGTCTGGTCGGGTGTTGCCAGAAGTGCCCCCAGGACGGCCCCCGGGGCCTCTAGAGCACCCCTCACGAGGCCCAGAGGGCCCCCGGGGCTTCAAGGTGGAGCGAGAAGCTGGGGGCACCTTGGGCCAGGGGCACCATCAGCAACACCCGACATGGGCTTGCCCGCGACGGACCGCTTGTTCTGAGCCGGTCCTGCCCTGTCGCCTTTCCTCCTCTCTTCCTTCCTTGCTGTGCCTCAGTTTGTTATCGGCGCGTCCCGCCTGCAGCCCGACCGGCGCGTGACCGCTTTCGCACCTCTGCGCCCGCTAACTTTACAAGTTTTCCCTCTCGAGTAGGGGATCGACTACAAGGCTGATTCACTTCAAAACTGATTCTTCCGTCGAGCCCACGAAAAGTACGCCGAATACTCACTCGATCCACAGCGAATCCTGGGCATTTTCCGCAGATCCGATTCTCCTCTCTTCCTTCTTCCTTGCCGTGCCTCCGTTTGTTATCCCCGTCCACGGGGGACTCCTCCACGGACCCGTCCACGGGGGCGCCCCGCACCACTGGAGATAAGAAGAGGGGGGATGGGCAAAGACCTGGCCAACGCGAGGCCCCCCCACCCGAGAACCTCGCTCCTCCCGTTCGTCCTCACCCACTCGCCTGGCTCCGGCGGCGGTCCTGGGAAAGGGCCTGGCCTCTCCCCACGGGCCAGACGAAAGGGGGGATTGGGAAAGGGGGTTACGAAATTTGCTGCATGCAGCTGGTTTCGGCCTCACCGAGGGGCCCATTCCTCGATACATAGCCGCCTCCGGCGCCGGGAGGCGCCGGGAAAATCAGCTACGTGAGCTGATTCTCAAACCCCCCCTTTGCTATCCACCCCTTTCGCCCGACCCGATCCCTCCCCACGGGAGGACTCCTCCACGGACACCGCGCGGCTGAGCTTCCACTGCGCCACCCCGGGCAGCGGCACGCCGCACCGGCCGCCCGGGCGGCCGGCCGCGGCGGCGGCGGCGGGCGCGCCCCACGCGCCGCCGCGCGCGGCGGCGGGCTCCTGCGGCAGCCTACCGGGGCCGCCGTCGTCTCCCCGGACTCGGGAGGGTCGAGAATCAGAGGAGGAGAAGGTACGGGGGCGGAGAAGAGGGGGGTGATGACTAGGGGGGGTGGATATCATGGCGTGTGCCATGATGTTTCCCCAGATTCCATGGCACCCCTTCTCATTTCATTACGTCCCTGGCCCCCCCGCTGGGCCGCGCACATGCCGCCGGTCATGATTTGCACCCCCCCCTCTTGGACACCCCCCTCTTGGCCGCTCCCGAAAAAGGTACGGGGGCCCCCAAACGGGGTGGTGACCACATTGTGTGGTGAGTCGGTGGGGATTCGGGGTCACCGCACGGTTTTGGGACTCGGGTCGTTCTCCGAGGACGTCTCGGGCGACTGGGGCTTCGGAGGTCCCAGAACCGTGCGTTGACGGACCGTGCGGTGAAGTCTTGGGGGATTTCGAGGTCACCGCACGCTCTGTCACCGCACCATTTCGGGACTCCGATGAGGTACCCATGACCTTCCCTCGTTTTTCCTTTCTTTTGGGCCTCCTCGGAGGCCGTCGTCGCCACCGCTGGATTCCCTTCTAAATTCTGGTCAGAACGCACCCTGGGAGAGGTCTGGGGAGTGGAGGTATCGGTACCTTTTGGTTTCTCCTTCGAGAGGGTCGAGGAGGGCATCGACTGCAGAACTGATTTGCCCCGAATTTGTTTTTCCAGCGGGTCAACGGAAAAGGCGCATGATTCACCGTAGAACTAGTGAGAGTATTCTGCGTATTCGTCGTGGGCTCGACGGAACAATTAGTTTTGGGGCAGTTCAACTTTGTAGTCACCCCCCTTCTCGAGAGGGGAAACTTTTATAGTCAGCGGGCGCAGAGGTGCGAAAGCAGTCAGACTCCGGAGGGTTGAGTAGGGGATCGACTACATAATGGATTTGCTCCGGTAGCAAATCATGGGAGCCTGGTGTACGCTCTCAAGACCGTCTTTAGCGCCGATGGGCGTCGATTAGCGTCTGGAAGTCGATGAGATGGCGCTGATTTAGCGTCGATTAGCGTCGATTCAGCGTCGATTAGCGCCGATTTCGCGTCGACTGGTGTCGATTCGCAGGAGCCGACAAGATGGTACCCCAAACTTGTTTCTCCATCGAATCAGCGGAACATACTTGAATTCGCCGTAGATCTGGTGAGTATTCTGCGTATTTCTCCAAATAGGCTTGCCCTATAGGAGTTCTAACTCAAACCTTACTACTTGGTCCGTTGCCCTCCCTAATTCCTATGCCCCCCGCAATTCCCATGGCTATGCCTATGCCTATGCCTATGCCTCCCCTCTAACTCCTATGCCTACGCCTACGCCTATGCCTATGCTTATGCCTATGCCTATGCTTATGCCTATGCCTATGCCTATGCTTATGCCTATGTCTATGCCTATGCACCACCTTTGAGCGCTCTTATGCCTATGCCTATGCTTGTGCCTATGTTTCCAATGCTTGCTTGCTTGCGTGCTTGTTTGCTTGCTTGCCCGCTTGCTTGCTTGCTTGCTTGAACGCTTGCTTGCTTGCTTGCTTGCGCGCTTGCTTGCGCGCTTGCTTGCACGCTTGCTTGCTTGCTGAGTTGCGGATTCCAAGCATGCTTGTTTCATCTGATTCTCTAACGAATTTGGAATCAACGCTGGCTGATATTAGTTTTGGGGTAAGTCAGCCTTGTAGTCGATCCCCTACTCGAGAGGGATAACTTTTGAAGTCAGCGGGCGCAGAGATGCGAAAGCGGTCACGCGCCGGTCGGGCTGCAGGCGGGACGCGCCGATAACAAACTGAGGCATAGCAAGGAAGAGGGAAGAGAGGAGGAAAGGCGACAGGGCAGGACCGGCTCAGAACATGCGGTCCGTCGCGGGCAATCCCATATCGGGGGTTGCTAAAGGTGCCCCTGGCCCAAGGTGCCCCCAACTTCTCGCTCCACCTTGGAGCCCCTGGGGCCCTCTGGGCCTCGTGAGGGGTGCTCCAGAGGGCCCGGGGGCCTTCCTGGAAATCGTGAGGTCACCTTGGGCCAGGGGCACTTCTGGCAACACCCGACCAGACACGCTCGCGCGGGCGGGTGGTATGGTAATGAGGGGTGACCTAAATCTGGGGTGAAGAAGAAGACTCTACAGGGGCCTTGTTCTTCACCACCTACTTTGGTCACCCCTCATTACCACCCACCCGACAACTCAGACATGCTCGCGGCGTGCACAGAGTCGGGGCGGGAGATCTTTGCGTCGTGTGCGGCCTCGCGGGGCCCTCGCCGGGGGCCCCAGGGCCGTGGGAGAAAAGATCATATGGGATAAAGGTCCGGTCTCGGGGAGAGGGTCGTGCCTTCGGGGGACGGCATGTTGAAACAATCAGGACGTCGCATGCCTGGGACCCGCATGAGCATACGGTGGGAACTTCTGCTCAGCGCGTTGCTCCGCCTGTTCTGGCCCACCGCGTGTCGGCGCCACGCGCTGTCCACGTCCCGTTCCTCCTGGCGTCGGCGTCCCGAGCTTTGCCCAGTCCCCCGCCCCGCGGAGCGGAGCGACGAGCTGCCAGTTCGCCAGGCATGGCATGTCGCCAGGGCCGCCGCCGCGACACGCTAAGCAGAAGCTCTTGACCGTGCGTGGAATCCCGCAGTGTCGGACAAGAGTGAGGGGGCGGGCGCGGGGTGGCTCGCGGGCGGGTCGCGGGGCGGGTCGCAGGCGGATCGCGGGTGGGTCGCGAGCGTGTCGCGGGCGAGGACGACGACATCGCAACAACAACACGACAAGCAGAATCCGCCGGACGGACCGTGTTGCCACGCACCCAAGGACAAAGAATGACCGCTCGGCCCTCTGGGCCGTGTTATCTCAGCACCACCGTGCCATCTCCCATTAGGGATAGGCCCCTGGACCCCCCAAGGGGACCAGCCTATAGCCCCACATGGGGGGGGCAGATTGGCCAGTGGGGCCAAGGCCATGCCAGTGGGGATGGGGATCGGCGAAACGATGCTCATTAACGTATGAGCGAAGCAAACAACGGGGTCTTCTGCGCCGACATTGGCGCGTAAGCTGCTCGCGTAAGGTCGCGCGTAAATGCCCTCGTCTCCAATGTGGCGTGCCGCGCTGGCGGCCCGCGTAAGCTGCCGCGTAAGGTCGATGTGTCGTCTCCCGTAAGACCCGTTTTTGATCGTCGCGCATATGAACTTGCGGAGGTTCTTGCAGATTTCTTGGATCTGCGCTGGGCCACCCTGGCGGCGCCGCTGGCGCCGCCCCCTGGCGCGCTCCGCGCGCCAGGGAGGGCCAGCGCCGACCCGAGAAATCTTTGGGGAGCTTCGAAGGTTGAAGTTTATCATGCTTTCCGTTCTGCAAGGTTGCATTGCGTACATTCTCCTTTCTGAAAACAGAATGGACTCTACCCCCCCCGGCGTTCGCCGCCCCCTTTCGGGTATGTAAATCATGTATGATTCTGACCACATGTCCATCCTAAAAATGAATTTACACTATCCCAGGGGAACCGGTATCGCCCCCCCTGAGGTTCCCTTCTAAAAAACGATACGCGGGGACATCTTTTGTTCGGACATAGCACTTTTTCACGAATCCCTTGCAAACAACGGGACGAAGTGCACACGCGCGCGCCGTCGCGCGCGCATGCCGAAATCCTTCAAAAGCGTTCGGTGCCGGAAGGATTTCGCAATCGAGTTTCCAAAAACATACAAACACACAGGGTTTCGCAACACTGATTTGCTAAAAAAGCTCACGCGCGGGCTCTTGCGGACTCTTAAGAAAACCATAGGTTTTTCAAGATTGTCACAAAATGCTACCAAACGGGCTTCGCGCGCGCATGTCGAAATCTGTCGAACGCCCTTGCGCGTGTGCCGTCGCGAGAATCCTCTGCAAAAAATTGGGCAAAGTGCAGACGCGCGCGTCGTCGTGCGCGTATGCCGAAATCCTTCAAAACCCATCGGTTTCGGAAGGATTTCAAAATCGTGTGTCCAAAAATCCCACAAAAACGCAAGGTTTCGCAACACGGATTTTCAACAAAAGCGTGCGCGCGCGCTCTTGCGTCGTCGTCGTCGTCGTCGTCGCCGTCCTCCCTCCTTCCGCGTAGTCGTCGTCGTCGTCGCCTACGTCGCCTTCTGTCTTTCCTCGTGTTCGTCGTCATCGTCCTTTTTGGCGTCGTGGTCGTTTCCGTCGTCGTTGTCGCCGTGGTCGTCCTTCCTCCTCCTCCCTCGTCGTCGTCGTCGTCGTCGTCGTCGTCGGCGTCTCGTCGTCGTCCCTCCTATTTCGTCGTCGTCGTCGTCGTCGTCGTCGTCGTCGTTGTCGTCGTCGTCGTCGTCGTCGTCTTCCCTCCTCCCTCGTCGTTGTCGTCATCGGCGTCGCCGTCCTTCCTCCTTCTTCGTCGTTCGCGTCGTCGCCGTCCTCCCTCCTCCCTCGTCGTTGTCGTCGTTGTCGTCGTTGTCGCCGTCGCCGTCCTCCCTCCTCCCTCGTCGTCGTCTTCGTTGGCGACGTCGTCGTCGTCGTCGTCGTCGTCCGTCGGCGTCGTCGTCGTCTTCGTCGTCGTCGACGTCGGCGTCGTCGCCGCCGTCGTCGTCGTCGTCGTCGTCGTCGTCGTCGTCGTCGTCGTCGTCGTCGTCGGCGTCGTTGACGTCGTCGTCGTCGTCGTCGTCGTCGTCGTCGTCGTCGTCGTTGTCATCGTCGTCGTCGTCGTCGTCGTCGTCGGCGTCGGCGTCGTCGTCGTCGTCGTCGTCGGTGTCGTCGTCGTCGTCGTCGTTGTCGGCGTCGTCGAAGTCGTTGCAGACGTCGTCGGTGTCGTCGTAGTCGTTGTCGGCGGCGTCGTCGTCGTCGTCGTTGTCGCTGTCGTCGTCGGCGTCGCTGTCGTTGCCAAGTGCCATTTGGTAACCACCGTCACGGTCTTAAGACATTTTGCAAACCAAGTTGCGGGTGGGTGGGTGGGATGTTTGCAAGAGCGCGGGATGTGTCAAATCGTTTGTTTAAATCAGTTGCACCACATAGATAATATTCAAGTTTATCATGATTTTTCTTCTGCCAGGACCGTGGCCAGCGGCCAGGACACGCCCAGCGGCCAGCCCCACGAACCTTCGGCGGCCTCGACCGGCGCCACGCCCTCCTTCCCCTCCGAGTCGCTCCGGGACCGCGACCGCGACAAGGGCTCAAAGTTCGTGTGCGTGAACGGGGTGTCCTACGTGCAGCTCCGCACCATCGGGAGGGGCGGGAGCTCGAAGGTGTACCTGGTCCAGGGCCCAGCTGGCGAGACCCTGGCGCTGAAGCGGGTGGCCACGGACAGCGCGACGCAGCTGGAGGCCTTCCTCAATGAGGTGACCCTGCTGAGACAGCTGAGCCAATACCACGACCGAGTGATTCAGGTTATCCAGCCGCCTGCGGCAAGTCCCGTCACCGTTTCAGCCATGTGCTCGCGTCTCGGAATCATCTGCTCGAGGGGCGACCGGAGGCCGCAACGTGTGAATCGAGCGGCGTATGGAGTAACGCTCAGGACGCCATCACATGTCACGCCGCGGGCGTCTTGAGTTTGTCCTGGTTCAGCTGAGATTATCCTGGGGCGGAGTAGGAGGATGAAAGAAACGGTGATGAGGAAGGAGGGATAGGCGTGAAAGGTATAGTCTGCTGAGAGAGGGCCAACCCACGGCGTGGGGGGTCAATGCCCGAGGGGGCGGCCCCAGCGTGAGTGGTCAACACATAAGGAGCCGAAGCCCCGGCATGAGGGGAAACTCAGGAGATAGGAGGAGGAGGAGGAGGAGGAGGAGGAGGAGGAGGAGGAGGAGGAGGATGAGGAGGAGGCGAAGCCTCAGAATGAGGGGTCAGCGCATGCGGGGTCGAATCCCACGCGTGAGGGGTCAGAGCATGAGCTGAGAGGGGACAGAGTCCCCAGCGCGAAGGGCCTGCGGATGAGGTGCCGGAGCCCCGGCGTGGGGGACCAGCGCAGGAGAGCCTACCGCACGGGGGGCAAAGCCCCGGCAGGATGGTCGGAGGTGGATAGACCCGTCCCGTTTTACCCTCCCGACGACCCGTTTTACCCTCCTTGCGTCCCGTTGTGCCCTCCCCACGTACCGCTGTACCCTCCCTACGTCCTTCCTTACCCTCCCGACGTCAAATTGTTCCCTCCCGACGTTTCGTTTTACGCTCCCGTCGTCCTGCTTGACCCTTCCTGCGTCCCGGTTTACCCTCCCTGCGTCCCTGTTTATGAAGGAATTGACCGTTTTCGGTTCGCGAGAGGGCGTCGCGGCCGTCATTTTTGCGGGTCCAGGTCCGTCGGTGTCGGTCCCAGGCCGTTTTCACTAAAGGGAGGTTTACTACAGGAGGTTTGTCCACCGCCGAGATGGGCCAGATAGCGATGGGCCAGCGACGGGGTCAACGCATGGCGGGCTGTAGACCCAGAAGGAAGGTCAGCGCACGAGGTGTCGAGTCCACGGCGCGGGGGGGTCCATGCACGGAGGGGGGCGCGCCCCAGCGCGAGGGGTCAACAGCTGAGGGGTCAACGCCCCGGCACGTTGGGGACACCACATGAGCTAAGATCACCGAGCGCGTTCCACTACTCGCCAAGTGCCTCCTCGCAAACGTCCGAAAAACACCTGTCTGCTTCGATGTAATTTCTCGTAGATCCCCCACGGCGGATCCAGGCCATTTGCGAGTAGTTACTTTGCGAGTAGCGGAACGCGCTCGTCTATAATAGGGGGCGAAGCCCCAGCATGAGGGGTCAACGAATCAGGGGCCGAAGTCCCAGCATGAGCCTGAGGCGTCACAGCACGAGCTAAGAGGGGGCGGAGCACCAGCAGGAAGGGTCAGATAATGAGGGCCAGGCATAAGGAATGGACGCATGAGGGGCAAACACCCCAGCGATTGGGTGAAATCAGGGCGGGCCATTAGACCCAGAATGAAGGGTCAACACTCGAGAGGCCGGATCCACGGCGTTGGGCAACGCGCGCTGGGGTCGGCCCGAGCGTGGGTGATTCAACAAATGTGAGGGGACATCGCATGAGCTAAGAAGGGGCGAAGCCCCAACATATGGGGTCAACGCGTCAGGGGTCGAAGCCCCTGCATGAGGGGTCGAAGCAGTGGCTGAGAGGGGGCACAGCCCCAGCACGAGTGACTATACATGGAGGGTGAAGCCCAAGCATCGGGGATCAACGAACGAGAGTCTACGCTTCAGTGGCCAAATCCTCAGCATGAGGGGTCAAAGAAATGACGGGCGAAAGCCGAGCATGAGAGGTCAGCGAATTCGGGCCGATGGAGTCAGCGCCTGGCGAGTAATATATGCAGAATGAAGGGTCAACGCATGAGAGGCCAAACTCCACCGCGTGTGGGGTCAACCAATCAGGGGGCCACACAGCTTTCCCGCCTCACGCATCGTGCGCCTCACCCCCTGGCCCACCACGGGTTTCGCTTCACCTCGGGGTACAACCCTAGCCGCAAGCGGGGGGGGGGGCAGCATAGGCAGGGGCGGAAGCTCAGAATGAGGGGTCCCGCGTGTGGGTCAACGCCGAAGGGTCCAAGCTCGAGTACCAAGCTCGAGCATGAGGGATCCATGCATGAGCTAAGAGGAGGAAAAACCACAGCCAGAGGGGTCGATCACCCTTGGTGTTCTGCACCTTCAGAATTGGCCATGGTATAGAGAGAGGGACAACGGGTTTCAATTGCATCCTTCTCACTTCTGCCTCATCATGTGGGTGAGGAAACACGCGGGCTTCAGAACAACTTATCGTCCCTCCAGCAAGCTGTTTCGATTCAGGGCCACTCATGTGTCGACCCCTTCAGGATGGGGGTCCAGAAAATCATGCAGTGTCTCCTCATGCTGAGGGTTTGCCCCCTCATGGGTTCATCCCCATGCTAGGGCTGTGACCCCTCATAACTTGACCCCGCACGCCGTGGATTTGACCTCGCGTACGTTGACCATTCCGGGTCTGTGACCCGTCATGTTGACCCCGTCATGCTGGTGCTTCGACCCCACGTTACGTTTACCCCTCATGTAGGGTCTAGGGCCTCTCATCCATTGGTCCCTCATGCTTGGGCTTGGATCCATCATGCGTTGATCCCTTCCGCGGGGGCTTTGGCCCCGCATCTGTGGATCCCTCGTTCTGGGGATTCGGCCCCTCATGCGTTGACTCTCAGTGTGTGGCTGTGCCCCCCTTGGGTGATGCGTTGGCCCCTCATTCTGGGGCTTGGGCCCACTCAGAAAAGAAGAGGACGAAACTCAAGGGGGTAACCCTTCGAGGAAATAGCCATAGCTCATGCCGTGGAATTGGCCCGTCATGACCTCATCGCCGACGCTGGGGCTGCAATCCCAGAGGACAAGTTGATGAGACAAGTGCTGAGCAGACCTGCTCCTCCCGGACCTCGCGTGTTTGGTAATTGGGAGGAGGAGCGTGATAAGGAGGAGGAGTATTGTAGGGGATGAGTGCAATGTGGAACATCATGATGGTGATTCTGTTGAGGAAGGCTTATGCGGGGCCATCTTGGGGCCGTCTTGGGCTTGTGTGGGGCAGCCTTGGGATCCCTTGCGCTCTCTTTGGCCGTCTTTTGTCTTTCTTGGGCTGCCATGGGGCGCTCTTGGGTTGTTTTGGGCCCTTCTTGTCCGCCTGGGAGGTCTTGTGAGGCCGTGTTGGGGCCGTTTTGGGCGGGCGAGGGGCTCTTTGGAGGGCGTCTCGGGTCTCTCTGGCGGCCCCGTTGGCCCAGTTCTGGGCTCTCTTGGGGCCGTGCTGGGCTGTCTTTGGGCCCTCCTGGGTCGTCCTGGGATCGTCTTGGGCGACCATTGGAGGACTACGGGGCCATTCCCGGGCCCTCTTGAACTGTCTTGGGGCCAGCTTGGAGGCTTCGAAGGCCGTCTGCAGCCGAAGGAGGTCCGAAAAGGTGAACACGCCAAACCATTTCAAAATCGTCAGGCAATCTGATTCTTTCTTCTTCGGGCCCTACTGGAGATAATCTTGTGGCCGTCTTGGGCCGTCCTGAGGGTCTCTTGGGGCCGTCTTGAGACCGTTTCGGCCGTCCTGGGGGCAGCTTGGGCCATCTTGGCGGCCGTGGTTGCTTGCCCTGGCTGTCTTGCAAGCTCGGGAACGCGGATCCATAGCTCTATACAGTCGGGGCGCTGAAGAAGGAACCCTTTTCGTTGGGGAGGGGTTCCGTGTTCCTCAATTGTTTTACAGTTTGCCTTGGGTGTTCATGAGGTTTTCCATGGGAAATCGAGGTTGAACTTATGGGAAAAAGGGGCCTCGTTCCTTATTTAGGGTTCCTCTCGGGGTCTTGGCCGCGGGAGCGCGGCCTGCTGAGTTTCACAAGGGGTCGTGGCCTTTGGAGCGCCGGCTCGTTGTTTCCTGCACAGGCGCGTGGCCTCGGGAGCGCGGCTCGGTGCTTTTTCACAGGGCCTCGCAGCCTCTGGAGCGCAGATCCATGGCTTTTTACTTGGGGTCGTGGCCCCTCGAGATCGGGCCCACTGCCTTCTACAAGGGATGATATTTTTTGTTGTTGTTGTTGTTGTTGTTGTTGTTGTTGTTGTTGTTGTTGTTGTTGTTGTTGTTGTTGTTGTTGTTGTTGTTGTTGTTGTTGTTTTTGTTTTGGTGTTTGATGTTGCTATTTGTTGTTTTTGTTGTTGTTATTTGTTGTTTTTGTTGTTGTGTTGTTGTTGTTTTTGTTGCTGTTTTTTGTAACGGACTGAGCTCGGAGCGCGGACCCAGACCTGCGCCCCTCGGCGTGATGAGAGTGGGGGGCGGCCCTTCAGACAGCCCTTAGCCCTTAGCATGCTACCACGCCTCAGCGTGCCGAGGGGGGTACGGTGGCGGATCGATGCCGAGGTGGACAGGGAGCGGGGCCGCATCAACATCGTCATGGAGGCGGGCGACATGGACCTGGGGCGTTTTTTGCAGTCGGAGCCCGGGCTCTGCCTGACCCAGATCCAGGATCTCTGGCGTCAGATGCTGCTGGCTGTGCAGGTTGTGCACAGCGAGCGCATCGTGCACTCGGACCTGAAGCCCGGCAACTTCTTGCTCGTTCAGGACAAGCTTAAAGTTATCGACTTCGGCATTGCGAAGCGCATCTCGAACGACACCACCAACATCAGCCGCGACGCTTCCGTCGGTACTCTGAGCTACATGGCGCCGGAGGCTGTGAGGCAGGGCCAGCTGAAACTCGGCAGGGCTTCTGATATCTGGTCGTTGGGCATTATCCTTTACCAGATGGTCTACGAGCACCCCCCCTTCGCGGAGCTGGAGCCCATGCAGCGGCTCCTGCGGCTAAGCGACCCGTGCCTGAGGATCCAGTTTCCCCCCGGGCATCGTCTCGAGGGCCACTCGGACGTTGTGAAGGCGCAGCTGCAAGAGGTCAGAGGACGATAACTTTGCACCTACACCGATCCTGGCTGGGCCCATCTTGGGTTCAGGATCGGTGTATACGCCCTCCAGGCCTCGCTAGGAATGCTTACGTGTTCAGTCTATTTATACACGTTTATAGTTGTTTATACAGGTGTATACATGCATGCATGCATGCATGCATGCATGCATTCATGCATGCATGCATACATACATACATACACACATGCATACACAGACACACATACATGCATACATACAAATACGCATACATACACACGTACATACTTACATACATACGTACACGCATACATACATACATATTGTCGTGCGTACGTACATACATACACATACACATACATACAACCGTACATACACACATCCATCCGTCCATCCATCCATACATACACATACACATACATACATACAAGCAACCATACATACACGTACACACATACATGCACATAGATGCATACATACATACATACACATACACACATACACATGTGCATACACACATGTATATATGCATGCATGTGTGTTTGCAAACATACATCCATCCATACATACATCCACCCCTATCTACCTACCTACCTAGATTCATACACGCACACACATACACATACATATCTACCTACATAGACACATACGCACATGCATGCATACATACGTACACACACGCACACTTTCACACATACATACATACGCAAACTCACATATGCACATACATGCATACACACACATACATACATAC